TTGTTACATTTATAACATTATAATAGCTTGCACTGACATTGAGTCATTCATTCACAATAACTAACTTCTTTAAACAGTAGTTGAAGCCTCTAAGTGCTAGTGAAATACCACAACTAAATATTTGAATGAGGCCCATAATGTTACTGAGGGCCTAATTCAAATCTTCCTTAGTTTGTTCTTCAGTAAGGTAACAGTACCCCTTCCACACAAACACCCATTTGTTTCCATAAATTAAAAATAGAGAACTAATTAAAGAGGTTACTATTAGTAATAAGACAGAACATCCTGTTCCTTCTTGCCACCTTGCATATAGAGTCTGGCAGCTGGTGTGATGGTGGAGTTGTCCATGTCTGTTTACTCCAAGACCCAAGGGAGGATCTTTTTGTAATAGGTGTCTAGAGGCTAATTATGAAAATAACAGATACATTTATTATCCGTTACATTCTTTCGAATTGAACTGAAGCAGCATGACCAGACTGGGATGTTTCCAAGAGGGAGAGTAACAGTGCTGCAGAAGCCCCACTCACCACACACACTGGAACGGTGCTGTGCAGTAAGTCTGAAGGGCTAAGTCCCATTTCACTTTACATGCCTAAATGGCACCTAACTATGCAGCCACCTAATTGCAGATTTCAGCACTTGGAGTTTATCATTCATCTCTGGGACCTAAAAAGTACACAGGCCCACTGCACATGCTCGGCAGGTATGCACTCTGGCCAGGTAAGGATGCAACAAAATTTGTCCAGGTATGTAGGCCTGGGTAAATCTTGAAGTTAGTCACAGAAAAACCACGACTAGTGGGTATTAGATGCTGGGGGAGGACCCTCCCATATTTTAGCCCAATACCCTAGGGGTTTGGGCACTTGCCCAGGGATCAGAGGACTCGCACACTAGCCCTCACCACCCAGAGTGGGTTTAGACCTGCTTCCCAAAAACTGTTCTGACCACCAAGCCGCGGTACAGGCGTTATCAATGCCTCTCTCCAGCTCTTCTCTTGAATCTGGCCTACTAGATAGACAAGAGGAAGGTATTTGGGGCAGGAGGAAAAGATTAAGCCTGAGAGTGTGTGGCTCAGTGAGCAGACAGCTGTTGCCTTTGCTAGCAGATGGCACTGGGTTCTAGTCTGGGGCCTTGATCATTATGGCAGAAACTATTCCAGTGCTGTTTCTCCATGTTATGCAAGAAGCATTTAATGAGATGTAGCAGATCAGCTTGAGAAGGGTCTGAATTGTATCTGATCTGTGGTTAGCATTCTTTGTTGGCAAGCAGGGGATGCAGGTTTGAAGCTTCTGGCACAGCATGGGGGGTTTGGACCTTAGATCTCCCTTTCCGTAGGAAAGGGCTATAACTGTTGTGCCATTGGCTGAAACGTGGGAGGGTCCTTTTCCACAATCTCCAAACTCATCCTGAGCCATCATCATTGGAAACAAAAACACTCAACAAAACAAAAACAAACCCTCAGCATTAAATTTGGTGAGGAAATATACTCCATCCAAGTTCAGTCTTATAAATTCCTGAGCCAATTCACTGTGCTCCAGGGAATATATAAGAAGTTGTATGTCAAATTTACTGTGGCAGCAGGAAGAAATCCAGCCTTCCTATTTGCCAGTCATTATCCTTTCTATTTCTTGTCCACTGCTTTGGCTCTTTGTCCTGATTAAGGTGTTATTTAATCTCTGCCTGTGGACAGAAGCATGATGGTCTTCTATTTAATTGCTGTCCAGGTGCTGTCTTGCAAGCTAGTTTCCTGTGATGTAAGTCTAAGAAGCTATCCTTTCTTCCCCATCTCTTCCAGCCATGTTACTAGACATCACAAATGTTCTCTGAATGCACTGATTGCTCTTTGAATTTATTACTAAGATTTCTTTTCTTGTTTTGACTGTTGCCTATTGAAGTACTGGATGCTCTTATTAGCACTGAGAAAGGGCTCACAAGTCTAGGAGAGCCATGTCTGCAGAGAGACAGCATGGATTCATGGCGAAAATGTATTGCCAGGGAGATTTGGATTTGTTTCCTCTCTGTCACTGATTTGCTGTGTGATCTGTGACAGGATTTTCCAGTTTGCCAGCCTCACAAAATCAAAAATGATGAGTCAAAGCCCAAAGAATCATGAGATTGGACCCCAAAAGAATGGGACTTTTATGAAAAGTGGTTATGTTTTGTTTCTGGTTTGTTTTTTGATCTTGAACTCTCCTTCTTCCTTGGTATGTGTATGGAAATTACTGCCCCCCCCAGCATTTAGAGAGAAAGGGATTTGGGGCATTTGCTACTCCATGAACTCTCAATCCTACATCAACCTTTCCCTGGCCAGCAATTAATATAAATTCTGTCTCCCCAGACTCCAGATCAGTTTTACCCCATATCAGTTCTGCCCCTTCTCTGTTCCCCATATCTGCCCACTGCTCCTCATCAATTCTGCCTGTCCCCAACTCTCAAACAACCCATCAGTTCAGCTTCTGAAGCCCCCATCAGCTGTGCGGATCAGTTAACCCATCTGTTCTGTATTCTCAACTCCCACCTAACCCTCAATTATCTTCCCCTCGTATGACTCCAAACCTCATTTCTGCTGCTACTGAGGTTCTTCATTCCCCTTGCCCAAGTCAGATGAAATAACTGTAGCAAGGTCCTCTTCTCGTCCTACCAGGACAGATGCTGAAGGGGTGAAGACAGGGGCTGGAGGAGTGGAACATTTCCTATTGCTTAAAGGAGGAGAGCGGGAGAGCACAAGAAGAGCTACCCTGAGTTGTTGAACTCTTTCTATTCCCTGTTTCCTAACTATTCTTTCAAAACCAGTTGCTGAAGGGATGGTGGGGATTAGGTCACTTCATGATATCCAAGAAGACCCAGTTGGCTGCTTCTCTCTTAAGATGTGGGTAAGTGGAGAAGGCAGCCAGTTAGAGGGGTTTTATCCCATATGCAAATCTAAAATTAGAGTGTCTCATCTCATTTGGGGACTGACTGGCACCAAATGACTGACTGCAAATCCCAGCCAAATACTCATCACACGAGAAAATTTGTGAGAGTTCACAACAGTGTGTTGTCCACCCACTTTGCACAAAGTTGAGAGCAACAGTAAATTATGCTCGATGGAATTAATAATCTGGAGTAAAACCAGTGTAAACAATACATAATCAGGACCCTTGTCTTTTTTATTTTGTCCTTGGGCTCCATGGCAAATAAATTGTCCATCAAACCCTCCAAGAGATGGACTAGAGACCCTGTGAGCCAACCTCAGGGAGAGCTCTCAGGTGGCAAGGTTAGGTGAAACTGACATAATCTCATCATATCCATTTGCAGCATTTGTCTCTTTTTCAGGAAGAGCAAAACTTAGTACGTACTACATCTGAATTAGCAAAACCAAGCAAAATAAACATCCCTATTTCCTAGCAATTATTTGTGCCCAACACTGTGAAACAGTTCAGTTTCCTAAGGTGACCCTATGCTTGTCATGGCTTGTCAATTTGAAGAACAGAAGTAACTAAACTGTAGAGCTGTTTGAAACTGGACTACTCTACTTCCCAGGGATTTTTGCAAATCCATTTTCTTTAGTTCTCCTTCCTCTTCACTTCCCTTTGCCCCCATGTCAAACCTCCAGACTTGAACATCTTTAGATCTGGAGAGTAGTATCTGAACACAGATTAGAGTGTTCCACAGAGATCCTGATTTTACCATATACTGTACTGGATCAAACCTTGGAGCCCAACACTCCCCAAAACCTGATCCACTTTGAACCTTGAATGTTGTGTATTGAGCTAATCTTTAGTTTCTGTGCAAATGCAGGCTTATCAGAAGATGACTTCAGGAAAGCGGGAAGTTCATGTTTCTTTCAATAAGGATTTAAATCTTTTTAGTAAGCATTTCATAAGCAGGACCTGTGTTTGGTACAGCCAAGTGGCTTCTGGTTCTGTTAGGGGTGCTTCGTAGAACTGTAATAAGTGGAAGTGGTTCCTGCTCAAGGACAAGTTAATGCCACCTCTCAGCTTTAATATCAAGAAGACAAAAAAAAAAAGTAATACAGTATTTTTAACTCGCATGGGCCAACAAGAGGATGTTGGTTGCTTTGCTTTGCCAGGATTGTAAGAACTTCTTAAACACCACGGTCCCACAAAATAAAATTAAAATCTATCTAAACCATTATCATCTTGACACTCTTGGCCACCAGTGTGATTATTTTGCAAAGATGTCCTTGGACACAGCTTTAGCTCCACTTAGCCAATGTTATATTTGTATATTCTCATGGCACAGAGTCAGCATTTTCATGGATAAGGACCATAAACTTCTGAAAGGAAAAACCCCAAGCCGTTTCCTTGATGCTAAAACTAACAGTTTTTTTATTGTTCTGCGACCTTTTGTTGGAAACTCCTTAAGTGCTGGAGATAGGCAGACTGCAACCCTGGAGCTGAAATCTCCCTTGAACTTTGGAGAAGTCCAGGTTCAGATCTGTATGTGAATCCAGTTGTCTAACTGTGGGCCGCCTTCTTCAAGTGGTGTAAATTAGAACCTCAGATGCAAACATCCCTCAATGCTGGATGTATTTGGATTCAGAGCTGGTTTTGAATGTCACAGCTTGGGTTTTTTCCTGATGGAACTGAGAAACAGATCCTCAGTTTGTATAAATTGTTATATCGCCATTGCCTTTTTGAATGATAACAGTATTTAGTAGGTGAGGATCTGTCCCTAAGTTTTCTAATAGGCAGCTTTGCAGAGAAGTAGTAATTAAGAATGTACATAATATTGCAAAATACAGCTGAACAAAGACCCACCCTCCCTAGCTACACTGTCCCTCTTGAACAGTGCTAGAATGCTTTCTTGAATGACCCATTACAGCTTAGCCCTGCAGTTGTTCTATTATTGTGTTGATGGTAAACTGCATTAGACAAAAAGGACTGTAAGTTATTTTCAGTCTGGTTTTGTCTGTGTAGACATCCAGTTTTCCTGCTCATATTTTGTGAGCAGTTAATCATGATACATACAAATATTTTTCCCTTTCTTTTCCACAGGCTGGTATGGATGGAGAAAGTATTGGGAACTGTCCTTTCTCACAACGTCTCTTCATGATCCTGTGGCTCAAAGGCGTTGTGTTCAATGTCACTACAGTTGATTTAAAAAGGTAATAAGCAATAGGTGGAAAATAATTATAATGGTCCACAGTTTCCTTTGTATTAGAAAATCCCCTGTTAACATCACTGGACTTTGTATTAGGCCCATGTGCCTATGAGACAGAGCAGAGTAGTTGTGATTCAGTTTCCTGAATGTTTTTTATCTGTAGAATATTTTACTTTGTATGTTAAATGGCATGCTTTCAAAAATATACTGAAAGTGAAAACCAAACTGCAGGAAGGAAGGAAGAAGGGATGGAAGTGAGAGAGGGATGGAGGAAGAGAGGGAAAGCAAATATGACTCGTTTTATAAAACACTGTGAATACCAATGAGGCAATAAAGTATCATTGATGCTATGAAGTTTCTTTTCCTTTTGGCAGAAAACCAGCTGATCTGCACAACTTGGCACCTGGGACTCATCCCCCATTCTTGACTTTTAATGGGGAGGTCAAGACAGACATCAACAAAATTGAGGAGTTCCTGGAAGAGACCCTTGCACCTCCAAAGTAACAATTTAACAATTTGTTCAATAAGGTTTCTTAGGAATAGAGAAAGAGGATTTGAATGGAAGTTAAAAGAAACCCCCATCCTGCAACCTTTACTTAAGTAGTCTTTGCTCATGCAACATTCCTGATGACTTCAGTGGAAATATCTGCATATATAAAATTTGCTTGCATGTATAGCTGCAGAATATTTTTCCTCATTGATTATGTATGGCATTTTTGAGAATGATAGCATAATAAATGTGACCAGTTCTAGTGTCCATGGTTTCCAAAAGATTGAAAATTGGAGTAGGTACAAAGAAGTGCTACAAAAAGTATTTGTGGATGGGAGAAGAGTCCTTACAGTGATAGATTTAAGGTGCTCAATTTGTTTAAATTATCAAAAAGAAATGGAGAGGTGACCAGTTTATGGAATACAAATTCCTTTTCACGCAGAAAGAAAATGTCTCATTCCAGAGGCATGAAGCACGACAAAAAGCAATAGGTGGACGTAATAATCTAACAAATTTAAGTTACAAAAAAGCACACCTTTTTGATATTGTTAGTGATTAACTAATGGAACAAAATACCAAGGAAAGGGTCAGAAACATCCTTCCCTGAAATCTGATCAAGGCTAGTTGTGTTTCTGGAAGATATGCTTTAGTCAGACACGAGTTATTGGACTGGATACAGGGAAAACTGGATGACATTCTTTTGGCTTGTGCTCCACAGGAGGTCAGATTAATAGCTCATTCTGACTTTAAATTCTATGCCTTATGGGTTGTTTTCACCTCCCACTGAATCATCAGCTATTGGCCAGCACTGGAAGTTGGAGATCAGATATGTCAGAGCATTATGGGACCTGATCCAAGACCTACTGAAGTCAGTGGGAGACCTTATTGTGTTCGATGTGCTTTGGATCAAATCTTTAGTTTGTTCCAGTCTTTTAAAATCAGTATGTTCCTTTGTATCAGTTGCCTTTAAAAAAATATATAGACTCAAAACTCCACGCTGTTCCACTCTGCTTATACTAAAGCTTTTTACTCTGACATTCTGGAATGCATTTGCAACACAAGGAATTAGGCACATGACTGCCATTCATAATAGAGGGAGTTTGCTGCCAAACTCCCCCGCACCCTTCTGGAAATATACACCTCTTTTCTGATTTAAGGCCACTGCACCTTGGATCCTAGTTGTGTAAAGCTCTGGTACAATTAGACTTGTCATAAAACTATCACTGTGTAACTCTTCAAATGCCTGGCTCCCCAGGACAGAATTGTTATTAAGTGGGTCACACCAAGCTGTTTTTTTGAGATAAGTGACAGCGTTAATTGCAGTTCCTCGTACAGGGTTTCCCCCCCCTCCTCAGGCAAGTAACATTTGTAATGATTGGTATATTGCTGGCAACAACAGGACATTGTTTTCCACACTGGTCCTATCTTTTTCAGGTATCCCAAGCTTGCTGCTAAGCACCGTGAATCAAACACTGCAGGAATAGATATCTTCTCCAAATTCTCAGCATACATCAAAAACACTAAGCAGCAGGATAATGCAAGTGAGTAGCATCATTTAAAAATGCTTTTCAAGGAGTGCATAGGCTTAAAAATGAAACACATGGTCAACCATGTATTTCATCCTTTCATCCTCTTCTAAGCTGTGCAAGAGGTACCCTTGCTGATTACTCTGGGCCTGTAAATTCAATAGAGTTACTTCAAATTTTCGCTACTATAATTGAAGTCAGACTTTGGCCCCAAATAGCTCAGGATCATGCTTAGCTGGCACTGTGCTTTTGCTGATGTAGGTTGCACAGTACTGAGAGTTTGTTTAAAAATTAATTAGATGAAGGGAGTGATTTGATTTGGCCCCAAGAAGGCCTGTGTTACTGCAGCAGGGATGCCTGTGGCCAGTGTAACTACAATTAAAACAACCCTTATCTTCATGAAGCTTCTCTTCTTCTCCATTTTCCTTTCCTCATAGAAGGCCACGTCCTTAGCCAGTATGACTATAGGTTTAGCTTCATGGAGCTAATGATCCAAAAGAACGTTTGTATTCACTTGTTACACCTTACTGTAGATTATGACTTCTGCTAGGCAGAGCCTTTTTCTGTCAGTTGCATACCATGAACATGCATCATCCAGGAGAGAAAAGAGTTGGATTTGTGGAACTGAACTGAGGCTCAGGACATCTAAGTTCAATTCCCAACACTGCCACAGACGTCTTGTTTGCCCTGATAGAGGTTGCACAGGTCGAAACCCTTCAGATAAAGTTAATAGTGATGATGACAGATGAGAATCTGGTCCTCCTTTTTTTGTGCTGCAGTCTTCTTATTTGTAAAACAGGCAATAATCATAATTCCCTTCTTCTGGGAGGTGTTGCAAGCCACTGAGGTCTGAGATACTCAGTCTTGGCTGGATTTAATAAACCTCTTCATGAATTGAAAAAGAGTCCATGGTGAAGGGGATCACACATTTTGGGCAGGAGAGACACCATTCTTGGCCTTTTGGCTCAGATCAAAAATAGGTAAAGGGTAAGGCTTGCCCATTGCACTCCAGAGGGGCTGAACTCTATAAGTTTCCCTAAATGTGGGAAACTTAACTGCACAGTTTTGTGTCAGTGGGTGACTGCATTTGCACTTTCCCCCTGGCTTGCACCTTTGCCTTTTGGCTAGGTGCAAGTGTGAATAAATTAGGGGGCATCCAAACCCCAAGGCATCTTGAGCCTAGGGCTTAGATATAGGATGCCTGCCATGGATTTGGGGAAGTATCCCAAATCCCAGACTGATGAGTCTGGGAGGGAAGATACTTGCCTGGTGGTAGAGCCACACAGACTTCAACAATTGAGCTCTGCTCAATTGAAATTTGGAATTTGACTGTTGGGCTTTGCCCAATTGAATCTGGAACTGATTTCATCCTTGAAGTGAAATATTTTTTTAAAAAATGTGTTTTGTAGTCATGCTCAGTGTTGACTGCATTTAATCAACTTCATAGTTGGTTTCCATAGCTGAGCGCATGCTGCTTTTGGCAGCAGTTTAATGATAGGCAGTGTTTTTAGTGAAATTCCCTTGTATGCGATTATAAGACGAGGGGCTTTTCCCCCATGCTAATTAATGGGAAAAAGTTTGTCTTAGAGTTGAATAAATATGGTAAATACATAAGTATAGGACAACAGAGACATGTGCGTGTCTCTAGAGGACTATCTAATTCCTATAATGGAGGCACTTACATACCCAGAGAGGGTAACAAAATTACTCGTACACTTTAGTTGGTGTTGGTTGCTAGCTGTACTTTGGTTGTCCAGTAAGTGAAATTTAATTCTACTCTTAGGACATAGCTAAAATGTTGAGTAGACAGACACTAGTGGTAAAAATGAAAAAGCAAATCCAGTCTATTCCATCTCACCCCATAATTTATTAAGTTATATTGGTTCAACATAGGTCTGAACCAAATACCAAGAAACCCAACCCTCAGAATTTTGGGGTGTTTAAATACCTTCCTTAATGGAGTATCATAAGGATAAATTTGTTAATGGACATGAAATCAGGAGATCAATTATACAGCATCAGTTTGCCATTAATTTTAAGTGTCTTTATTTATGATTATTCTTCATAGCATACTCCTAAATGTTTTGGAAAAGTCAAAAGGTCTTAGTAATATGTTCTCACTACAGCCAGTAGCTGTTAAATCTTTGCTGAGAAGTAGAGTGAAGTGGTTGGATTTTTCTAGCAAGATTTATGGGGTATGAGAAATCTTGAAGTTAGAATTAATGAGACCCTACGGTATGCCTAAGATAAATCAAAGCAGCCTTTTCTTGCAATGGGGTTTGCATGTTGGATCATGGCATGATTTTAGCCTCAACAGCACCAACTAGGGAATGATGGATCACTGTGACAGTTGATGTTGCCAAGGTGGTGTACGCTAAGAGTCTACAGGCGTGAGCAGGATAAGGCAACAAAGTAGCTGGGGTAGATGTTTTTTTCTTTAAGCAGTCATTACTGATGAATCCTAGAGGTAGTTTCTTGTTGTGGAATCTCTCCAATCTATTTACTTTATCAATGAACAAAGTCAATGATACACATGCCCATTTGATTTAAGGCTTGTGATACCCTCTGCTGGCAAACGTGAATATATAAAGCAGCAACTTTACAGTCCTTTAGAGCTTCCTGAAAAAAATTAACAGAACAGGTCTCCATGAATGATGCAGGATTGTAAAAATCCAAATGTTTTGTGAGTACATGTCAATTTGAAGAAAACTCTTGATAGAAAGATTTTAAATGTTGCATTTTAACAAAATTCAAAGGTTCTGTTTCAATAGTATCATTTCAGTTACTTTTGGTTTGACTTGTATATTATCATAAAATATTATATTTATTCTTATTATTAGATATATCATGTTTTATATATTAGCATAGACTTAGAAACAAAATAAATCTGAACAATGCTGTCAAAATGAAATGTTTTGACATTATTGAAACATAATGTTCTGATGGTCCTGCATAGAAATTTTTGGTTTGTTTTTATTTCTCAGGTAATTTATGTTTTTCACTCCAATTCAATTAAAATCATTTAGAAACAAAACGCTTTAGTATTACAGAGAGAACAGCCCTGTTTCTGGATTAGCCACTAGCCATTGTATTTTGTGTCTGGAACAGGAGCAGGTGATAAGCCTTTGGTGTAACTTTGTATGACAATATGTTATTGATCATGATTCATTTGCTCACCAGAGGTATTTGGAAGTCAGCCTGCCCTTATTTAATAGTTCCCTGAATTTCTGATTCTTTTTTCTTTTCTTTGTTTTGCTAACTTTTCTGTCTTATAACATAAAAACGTTGAAAGGTTTGGAACAGGCAGGCTAGGGCTGTAAGCCCAGAAGCAAACATACTCGCGCCATATCAAAGTTCTACCACTTTTAAGCATCTTGAAAGGGAAGGAATTGATTCCAGATTCTCAGGATGTGGCAAGCTGTGTTTTAAGAAAGCGTGAGTATTTATTATTTCAAGCCAGTTCAATTACAACAGGCTTGATTCCTTCCACCTCCCACGTCACTCAGTTGCAAAACAGGCTTTTCTGAAGGAGTGGTCTTCACAGCACAGGAATAGCCCCACTTCTTGCTTGGATAGTGTGTCTAGATTATTCAGGCCTCTGACCTTCTCCATAAGACCATGCTGCTGTGGTTGAAATCACTAACGTTTAATCCTCTCTGCGGTTGATGCAAGTCATGAAAATCCTGGGATGAACTTGATGGGTGTAATCTTGATGTTAGTGTCCTAGAAACTCTTCCTTAACCTTAATTGATTGAGTTTTCCTGCCTGATTTGAAAGCAAAGCCTTTTCCTGACACTGCGAGCTTGAGTAAGTTGCATAAACTCTATAAGAAGGACAACAACTATTTATTTAATCATTGGGCAATCACAAAGATTACCTAGCTGAAACGCTGTGTACGTGTTCAGTATTACGAGTACTATCTCTGCGTGACTGGTGTAGTAACCACCCATTTGCAGTTCTTCCTAAAATTATATGCCGTTTGGCTCATAGAATGAGCTCTTTGATTTCGTTTATGAGTTTAAAAAGTTGTTCTTGAATTGAGTTCTTAGAGGGCACTAGCTCCAGTGTGGGTGGGCGCATTCATTAGTGGTATGGGAGGATGTTTTACTGTACTGCTCTTCACAGGGCTCTGAGCTGGGAGACCACCAACGCGATTTCATTCACTGGAATTTCCAGCCATCTGACCAGAGGATTCCATTGGTCTGGTTTGGATTTAGATCAAGGGGCCAAAAAAATAAAAGAACATTAAATCATTAATTTGCATGTGATTAAATACTGTTCACCTCCTTCAGTAGCTAGCTACATCACACTTTGTGGTTAAGCCTGTGAGGTAAGAAATGTCCCTCTCCTTATGTGCTATATATACGTACATATATATGCACATGCACGTACAGGGTCTGGATCTCCTCTGACCTACATAAGTGCTACACTAGCTTAATTCCACTGACATCCATGGAGTTATACCAGGTGAAATCAGAGTTAGATCTATAGAACATGGACTTGCACAGCATGGACGCTGTGTGTGTGTGTTCCAGTTCTTTCTAAAAGCCATCACGTATCTTCTTAAATAAACACAGAAAGACATTGGTTCAGTTCAGAAGGTAGTACACAGAAAGTTTACAGTAGTAATGGAGCGGTGGGGCAGATTCTTTCCTGCTCCCAAGCTAAGCGAGATGCCAGACACTACAGGGGCCATTAAAGAGGCACTCGCAGCTCACTGATTCTGAGATGAGCTCTGGCTCCATCTCATGTTAGAGAAATCCATGCTCACTTTTACTTTATGGCAGTGGAGGATAGGTAAGCAAAACAGAACTCCTCTCTCTCCTTGGCATTTCCCTGTGCTGGGAACGGCACCTAGTTATAAGTCAGCTCTAGCAGAGCCCTCATCCCTTCCCTCCACTTTCTACCAGAAGGTGCCTCCTTTGCATCTTATAATTAGCCCCCAAATCATAAGTGTGAATCTGACTTTTTGGCACAATTAATCTCACACCTTTAGCCTCATCCGCACTCTGTAT